CACTATTTGAGTTACCTTGAAATACTGCTAGTTAAATTTCCTGGTTAATGTCACCAAGAATCTGTTATATTTGGCCAGGATGTCCTTGTTAAAATAGCCAGACTACTATGCTAGGTGGATATATAACCAGAACACCTGGTCAGTTATCCACCCATAGCTCAAGCTAATTTAATTATCGGCAGGAAGTTCTGGTAAAATTAACCAGACTATAGTAGGGAAACGGTAAACTAACCAGGGAATTTATCCTGGAATATTAATTAAACCCAAATAGGGTTATTTCTGTGGTTAACCTGGAGAATTTTAAGCATGAGTTTTATGACAGCCACTTTAAACGTTAAATTGGTTAGTCCATGCATGTGTATCAGTTAGCTCACCTCTGGGACATGGGTTAAATTCAGGCATCTTGCAATATACAATGCCAATGCCTGATCAGTGCTAGCCATTTAGCAGCCTCGTACCCAGGCGCAATTAACTAAAAATAGGCACACTACAGTACTTTTATATAGATCAGTGGCTAAGATGAGCGAGCGCGCGGGGGTGCTTGGGGAGGACGCAACTCGAGCCATTGATCTATATAAAAACACTGTAGTGTGCCCATTTATAGCGCCTGGGTACGAGGCTGGCCATTTAGTATGTATTAATGCACACTTGGGTATTGATTATGCAGTATTGACTGTGAAAGCGTGCAGTATTGAAAATTAGAAATTTTCGGTTTCAACTTCGTATAAGAAGACAGTGCGATAGCAATGTTCAACAATGACTTAGGCCACAAAGGCACAAAAAAGGAGAGGGGTATATGGTTTGGCTTAATGATAACTGATAAGGAACAAGACGTCACTGAAAAAAAATTCAATTACGGGCCACCATTAGGGCTGGAGGAACTTGCCCGCAGTCAACAACATATTAATTTAAAAGAGGTGCTGATATTGATTGCACAAATTTAATTTTTTCATAATAATAATAAAGATCAGAGGAGATTTTGTTTTTAAATGACAAATTTGACAAACTTGAAAATTGCTGATCACAATTGACTATTGCATTTTTCCACCTTTGTAAACAATTAAAATAGTAGGCTACATAACAAATGAAAAAGCAGACGGGGGCATAGATAAAAAGCGGACGCGGACGACAGAGCGTTTTATAAACACATGATTACTGCCGCACAAATATCCCAAATTAAAGTATGCTAGTCTTACATCTGTAAAATGAATATGTTTTCACCGGCCCGTTCAATTAAATCCTTAGCAATGAAGTTTTTTAATCAGCATTCAATACATATGTATGATAGGGGAATTATTTACAATATTTTGGAGATATTGTAAAAAAAAGCGCCTTAGTTTTGGTACTTCTGTTATAACTCAGAAGTATTAAAATAATATTAGGCAGGGCTATTAAATGATATTCACTTGCTGACATTTTTATACTGTAACATTTTTATACTGTAAAGGTTAACGTTACACATAGTATGCATTTTTGAACACCTAAGACGGGGATTATTTCCATTATGAAACAACTAGTTAGCACTAATTTAAGTATGAAAATGTCAACAAGTGAATGTCATTTAATAGCCCCGTCCAATACTATTTTTAATCCAATGCCAGTGATGTGAGGGCAGTTATATGCATGAAAAGCACCAAAACTAAGGCGTTTTTTTTCAATATTTTGAAAATTGTACGACTGTACGTGTAAATTCATATTTGCCGCACCCTAACATGCAAAATTTGATACACCATGTAAATTAAATTTTTTGTTTGCATTTGAAGTTTGTGAACTTCGGGATTGTGTTTACTTTTTTATCCACTTTGAAATTAAATGTTTACACGCATACACTGGCTGTCATTTATTTTTGGAATAATAGGAGACAGTGTTCACATACATTTGGGCGAAAGTCGCGTACCGTAGCAACACAAATAACAGTTACTTGTCGTGGGAAACGTTACTGAACTGAATGCCAATAACATGCACAAAGTAGCCTGCATCCTCATGTTTTGAGCACAATAGGTTTAGGGTTCTTATCTGAAAAGTAGGACAGGATAGATCGAGTATCCTTTCAACTTCAAGACTTTCAATTAAATCAGCTCATTTTGAAGCCAGAATATTTAAGAATATTCATATTCATATAGTGTTCACATACATTTGGGCGAAAGTCGCGTACCGTAGCAACACAAATATGATAAAATTGTTAATTACTTGTCGTGGGAAGCGTTAACTGAATTGACATAACATGCACAAAGTAGCCTGAATCCTCATGTTTTGAGCACAATAGGGTTAGGGTACTTATCTGCAAAGTAGGAGAGGATAGAGTATCCTTTCAACTTCAAGACTTTCAATTATTAAATCAGCTCATTTTGAAGCCAAATATTTAACGATATTCATAACAAGACAACAAGATCAGATTTTTTAAAAAGTCGACCAAAATCTCTGCAAATCGGATCGCGACTGTTTTAAATTAGCTACATGATCAACTACATCTCTTCTAATGAGTTTTGGAACGTTTTAAATACTAGATATAAACGAGACTTACGCGAAAAATGAGGCCGATATTACAACAAAGTGCACTGAAACACTGATCTCAAAACTAGCCTGGATAAATGAAGCCGATGGTAGTACTGTAGTGTGTTAGCATCTACTGTGTGGTGTTGACATACTAGAAGAGGTTCTTACAGCCTCTAGTTATTGGTGGCAAAGAATAAACATTGCTTGAATAGAATTTATCAACAATGGCCTCTCTTCAGCCTTAAATTTGGCCGTGAATAACTAATGAGGCCACACCTATAGGTCACAACAAGCGTTCTAAAACTCATTAGAGGAGATGTAGGATTGTGTGAAGCTATATCTTTCAAGTTACATAGGAAAATATATTCCTGCAGAATTGGCCGATTGTATTAAAAAAAAATATTCTATCAATTCCTAGTTTTCAGATCAATTATTGAAACATTAATCCAGGGACGCCGGAACTGGGTGGGCAGGAGGGGCAGCCGCCCCCGTTGCTCTTTACCAGGAGAGGCAAGGGGTGGAAAGGTGCCCTTTCAATTTAAAGGATTGCCTTGGCGAAATAGCGAATTGTCAGAAATGTTAGTGCAATTCTTTTACGAATTTGCTTCAGAAAACGCAAGAAATGCAGTCATCGAGCTTCAAGAATAGCACAATCGCCTGGCGGAGAACCCCCTCACACCCCTATCATCCAATAGAAAACATGATTAGGGGAAGTTCAACTCAGTCCCGATGTTTTGCAAACATCTCTTAGTATATATCAATTCAAAAGTGCCCTATCACGAAGATCTGCCCCCCCCCCCGTTGCCTTCACATCGTTCCGTCCCTGCATTAATCATAGCCAAAGGGATAAACGATATTGGGCATATTGAGGTATCATCCTTTAATTGCAAGGGACGCGTTGTGCGTGATAAGCTTGCCGGCCATTTCTGCATGCCTACCACCATATGGCGTAGAATTCTTATTGTACAGTAGTTAAACTCAATTGACATAGGCATTATAAATTCATGTCTCGCTGTTTATGAATGCTGAGCCCTATCCTTACCCTGACTCTAACCCTAACCGCTGACCCTTTAACTCACGAATAGCGAGACATGAATCTATATCCCGACGTTGGTGTGAACATCAGAAATCTACTATCACTACATGCATGCATGCATGGTAAACGAGGTTCCAACAGTTTCGATCTCGCTATCGTTGGGGAACCAGAGTCACAACATATGCATTTTATACAATCTGTTTTATTCCTTGCAGGATTCCTTACAGCTCTACCGATAACAAATTTGAAACAATTAGAATTGATAGATATACCTGCATATTCAACGACAAAGCTAATCGCCATGATGATCTAATAGAAACTTTCAATATCGAATACAAGTGACCCATATTCTGAACGATTCGCATAACTTAAAACCTTAAACGTACACCAAAAGGGTGGCATGACATGTTGAAAATTTTGCCCCCGCCCCCCTACACGTTTAGTCTAGATAGAAATTGGCCTAGTGGGCATCCTCGCACCCAGGGTTGGAAAGTCTCTACGATGGAGGTTGATCAGTGGGCAGTAACTAATGAGGTCACAGCAATATGGCGCCTCGAGTCTCATTAGTCATTACGTAGTGTTAAAAGTTTTAAAACTCGTTACAAGACTAGTTGTGGGAAGCTTTATCTTCCAAGTTACACAGGCAAAGTCATGCGCTTGATAGTTAAGCTGAGCTAATTTAAACACCTAACTGAATTCGATAGGTGTATAATCTGACAGATTATAAAATTGGCTTGCTATCCAGTTGTACTTTTAATTAATTAAGATCAGTTTTAAACTTATAATTACGATCTGAGATTGCGTTGCAATTGCAAGAAAAAATGCCTCGTGTAACAATGCAGATCGCTCAGTGAATGTCTTCAAAGGTCAACATTTATGAAATTTTAATAACATGTTTGTGTGCAATAATGGTTTGTGAATGTTGGCCTTAGGGTGATTACAATTTGATTATTTGACAGTTTAGAAATGGAAAAGCCGCAAATCCCCACTTTGCGAACCTCGACCACATGAACTATCAACCTCGTACCGAGGGCTTCTGCGCTTTTTGCCCAGAAGCCCTGGGTACGAGGTTGATGACCGATTTGATTCATTCTCGTACCCAGAGCCTTCTTATGCGCGGTCAACGGAGCGCGACGAAAGGCTCTGGCCAAATCCATATCAAACTGGCATCTAATTGGCTATAACGAAGGTTATTGTTCTAATACCGGAAATATTCTTTTACCATGTTTTTGAGGTATCCGGTTTTGAATTTGGCCATTCTTGTATCCAGAGCCCTTCTTATGCACGGTGCGACGAGGGGCTCTGGCCAAATCCATATCCGAACTGACATCTGATTGGCTAGTTCTGACACCGGATATTGTTTTCTTACCATGTTTTTATGGTATCCGGTTATGGATTTGGCCAGAGTCCCTCGCCGCACTGCCCGTAAGAAGGGCTCTGGGTACGAGAATAGATTTGATTAATTTTCCAGCACTCGACCCATTCTCCTCCGCAGCGCCGGGCAGTCAAACACGAAGGCTACCCAGAGTATATATAGTTTAAACACGTAGCTAGAGCTATAGATAGATTAAACTCGCTGGCTATATACGCACAAATTATGAGGCATGCATATAATCGATGTCCGCTGCGCGCGTCCACCAAATACCTGAATGCATTACATTTTCAGGTGTCCCAGGAAATGTAGACCCCGGGCCATAATTCCTAGGAAATTTGACCCCACGGGTGTTAAAGCCGCCTTCGCATACCGCAAACATGACAATTAATGATTGATGCTTAATTAGATTAATTTATTACGAATGAAATTTATGATAGTGTATAGACCTTTCTTATAATGACGCATTTCAATGCAGAAAATCAATTTATGCGATGTCCCACGGGACAGTGCAAGTCGTTGGCAAGTCAATAAATTTCATAAAGTACATCATTTGCATTGTAAATGGTCGCTAAAAATTGTCTCTTGGGGCATCGCATTAAATGTTCTCCGCGATGACGTCATTATTAAGAAAGGTCTATTGAGTCAAACTCGTATGAATGGTCTATACCCGTGGGTATACTGCGATTTCTGGTTTTATAAGTGGTTTCTGTTCCGTACCATACTTTCTGTAATCTTTGTAAAGTTTCACAAAATGCGCCAGAGAATAAATCCCGTACACGAGCGAAAACACAGCTACCCCAAGCGCGATAACTGCATCCAAAAACCATGCCTTCGTGGTGAATTCTCGTGTCGATGTTGTCACAACGATGCTGAGAGCTAACAAAGCCCCGCATAGTGCATCTATGGAGTCTGCACGTAGAGCCCTACTGCATAGTCGCTTCGCTATTCTGTACTTAATTACGAACAATATTAGGTACACTACCACGGAGACAGACGATAAAATAAGCAACATCTTCGACTTTTTGTGCTTTTCTGTTAAAACTAAAGCCTTTATAGATTCGAAACCAACCCACACACCCGATATAATTAGCGAAGCAGTTATAATAAATAATGCAATCACTTCTCGTCTACGGTTGCGGATTTCAAGCTCCTTCACCGACCAAAATCGCCATAATATAATGAACGAGGCAAGAGCAGCAAGCAGGGACTCAAAGGCAAACCCAAATGCGGCTGTGCTGTCCGATTCTTCAGAAGCTATCAAGCTGAGAATTGTGAACAGCCCTGCAACTATCAGCGTTAATATTGCCCCTATCTTTGCTTTTTTTATTTCTCGTTTGATTTCCCCGACAGTTATAGGTTGTTCACCGTGTGTACTGATCAAATCGCTTTCCGGGTATCGCCGGATTGACCTCTCGTCTCCCGATTCTTCCACTGTTAACTGACTTGACTGCTGTGATAGTATATCATAACTTGACGAAGTTGCACCATACGAGGTCGCTGTCGATAACAATTCCTCACGCTCGGCCGTCGCCGTCGGCATATCAAACACACAAATTTGTCTGAATTTCTCAGTGTTACCAAACAATCGTATTTACCACGGCTTTAAAATTATGGTATCTTTCAATTTTACTGCAGCCATGATTGCTTTGCCATAGGCAGGCCAGTCGACGATATACAAAACGGCCGTAATGTTCAACAACTAGTTCAAGGTTGCACTGCCACTGTCCACTGGCTTTAATTTCGTTTTCGTAGTCAGCTTGCGCATAAGATCTGTGTTTCGTCAAGGAATAATATAGGTCAGCCTACTAAGTTCGGCACTACTTGTCGTACAAAGTTGACACATTTTAACAATGAGTATTTGCTGAGTGTGTGTTGTTTCGTCACCTTCGTGCATATAATTTAACAGTGAGTGAACACGAATTAATCCGTAGACTCCGTAGAATTATGAACTCAATAAAATTAACTAGCTGTGCAGTAACTGCTCAGTAAATTTATTGGGTTTTTATAATAGGCGCCTGCAGCCCAATGCTAGCAACTATCCTATCGCATGAAAAGCCTAACCCAATGGCGGTTTAATTAATTGGCCCCAGCCACACAAAAAGCCACACGATACCGGGATTCGCTTGTAAGACGTCAAATTTAACGGTTTCAGGAATATCTTAACTAAGTAATTGCGATAATATGACAAAATAAAACGAAAACTGTTAAAGGGGAATTTTTTGGGCAGACATTATTCCAGAATGGCATGTTGATGTAGTAAAAAGCAAATCCAGTAGGCAGTATCGTGTAACTGGCATCTTAGTCAAGGGCTCATGGCAAGGGTTTAATATTGTGGTCGATCAGACAGTGTAGCCAATAAGATATCAGTGTATGCTTATTGCTAACAAACAGTACTTTGTAAAAGGGTGAAGTCCAGCCTTATAATTACAATACCGGAACCTGTGTGCGTTCATGCCTGCTTCATGTGACCGCCTTTGTCTGCGTTTTCCGTTTACCGTTAGTCTGCGTAGCATTCGCTTTATTTTATTGAAGGTTTTGAGGATTTCTGAATAAATGGCGAGTTAGAAAAAAAATCGCAGGCTAGTTTTCCATT